CTTTGGCTTACCATGTTTTTAAATTAGTCAAATCTTCGTTAAAATAAAATGTGGATCTATTTATTAAATAATCGCCCAATAACTAACGTTTCTATCACATATTAAGGTATTATTCCCATCAAGGGGTACGGTTGGGATACAGAGTTAAAAGTGATATGGTATTTAAGATTGTTTCAACCTGTAAAGCTTAAATCTTTCAAGGACAATAATTTGTTCACCTATGAATTTTTTCAATTATGATATGGCAATGTTAAAAAAATTTGAAGCAACTAATTTAGCAGTTTATATCTAATTTTCGCTTTAATTCAACATATTGTAATACATTTAACTTTTCTGGTTCTACATAGTCTGTATCGATATTTTAAACATTAATTTACTAAGGCCCTTAATAGCAAAAGGCTTTATTGGATAGAAGTATAATAAACCAGTAATAATTTCCCATATCACTATGGATAGACAAGAGAATTCTAAACAATAAGGTATTAAGTAATTATCCATTAGTTTAACTAAAACTGATAGAAAGCTCTAAATGTTTTATCTATTATTATCAATTTATTTGCTTCTCTACTGTTTGAGACTTAGTCTCCTGCAACTACATATTTGCATTCATATCTTGTCTTTTGCTTTCTCAAGGGCACCATATCCCTAACAATATGTGTGAGCGATCATGGAACACCATTGCGATCTATGACCACAGAGCTGCAGATACTTGTAGATGACCTGCCACCAAACGGAGTAAACTCAAATCCACGCGATTTGGAAGGCAGGACAAGAGTCGAAAAATTTAGGATCACCGCAGAATCAGGCCTGCCGGCCAGCAGCCCAGTTGATGTGACACTAAACTCGGTACCAACTGGCATCTCTACAGGAGAAGCAGGAATTAGCCTAGCCGGCTGGTGGTCTGCAAGTGGAATGGAGGTTAACAAGCTCATTATTATATGTATTGTCGTTGCAACGGCAGTCGTCTGCATTGTTCTGGTTCTTGCAATATGTCTATTTGCCAGACGTATCACCTGGACAAGCACCAATAGGCATCCTGGTGAATCAAATTTAGCTTCTCCTCTAAGTACAGCTATGAATATAGTCGTTGGAAAAAGCGTCTGCAGTCAAGGATCTGGCGTCAGAGACAGCCTCCAGCAACAGACACACCAGTCCCACCAACAGTCAAACAATCAGAACATCTTTGAAAATGGGCTACTCGAGCTACCAGTAGCTGTTACTAGTATGTCAAATAAATTGGAGGAACTAAAGTGTAGTACCGTAAATTGCCAAGTGTGTGGTCAACTTCAGAACGGCCCTATAATAAGCAATGGAGAGTGCCATTCGGGCAGAGTGAAAGTGATACTAGATTGCCAGCCCAATAATCCTCATCAGGTAATCCGAAATGTTAACAAGACTACCGACAACTATACCAAAAGCATGACTGGATGGAGATCACATCATCAAGAGGAAGACAATGAAAGTGTTGGCCTGTATAACGAAATGAAACGTAGAAGCATACAAATTAATGAGATGTGCGAATCAAGTGAAGTTAC